CCAAGCTACAACGAGACCACCAGAACCATCAATGGCATCAACAAAGAAACAATGACTCAAATCAAACCCTAAACCCCGCATACGACGGGAGACGACTCTCCGGCACGATCTTGTTTCTGAGAAGAATACAAGGTCCGGTTTATTAGAACGAACTAAACCTAAAGAAGTTTGGAATGTGAGGGATGGTCCAATTCCTCTCACATTCCAACCCAAAATCCTCATTTATCCGGGTGGGGCCATTCTTGGCTGGCTACCTCCACCATCTCATGTCCTTCCTCTTCTTCCACAAATTGCTTCTTGGGGTTAAGATTTTCCCCAATCTCTCCTTCAATTTCTTCCAGACCCCGTTTGCGATTTAGGGTCTCCAAATTTGACCCGTACTCGTTCAATTTCGCAACCATAGCCCCTTCACCCGCCTCAGCAGGGTCGATCTCATCACTGATCACCAGATTAGCCTCAAAAGCAGCCACCACCCTTCGCACTTGGCCTGTATTGGGGATAGTAGGTTTTTGAGTCCCAAGTGGCGAGCGATTTTTAATCACGAATTGCTCAGCATCTTCCTCGGAAAGCGATGCTTCCGAACCCCCATGAACTCCCTCAATATCGTGCATTGCTTCCTCCCCCCCATACTCCTTGGGGCGAATCACCGCAAGAGGAACAGCTTCCTCCACGACAGCCATGTTATTGGCATCCTCCACCGCCTTGGGCACCTCCAGTTGCTTCTTCTTAAGGCCAGCGCCCTTCTTCTTCCCCACAGCACTCGAGTTTTTCCCTGCAGCCGCCTTCGACTTCGTCCCTGCTACCGAGGCGCCCTTGCGGGATTTGGATGAAGCACCCGCCGCACCCTGCTCGCTGGCCTTGACAAGGCGCCTCCCCTTTGATTTAGTAGCCGCAGCCATCGGAGCATGCTTAGGCATAGCAGCAGCCATCGGGGCAGGATTAGGCACAGCAGCTCCCACCACGCCCTCATCCTCCGATTCCTCCAACAACAGGCGCCGACGGTACGGTTCCATACGAGGAGTCCCGCCTGCCTTCTGATCTTCAACTGGCCGAATCAACTCCGGCCTTCCACCTGGTGCCACCTCGTCCGACCCTGTACCCCGCTGGTGATTCCTCTGCTGCATAGGAGCCGCATCCAAGTCTTCCATCGATCGCCCTCGTCCGCCTTGACGGGCATTTCCCTTCCCCCGGAGCTGGGCTGCTCGTACCGCGAGTGGACTTGGGACAGTAGGGGATCGATGTCCAAGCCGAATTTGCGGCGAGCGACGCACAGGAAAGCCACGCGGGCTAGTACGGCGCACCCCATCATGAGCTGGTCCCTTACCACGAACAGGCAGGTTTCCATGTCGGGTTGTCCCCATAAGTACATTGGGCCGAGGTCCACCGTGAGGTATAGTGACCTGGCCTTCAGCAATTCTACCATTCTTCTGTTCCTGCAAATTCTTATTCACCCAAACCGACTTGGATCCTCTCGGGAATGCAAGCCTCTGATCCTCGTTGTCATAGACCCGGGTGCCTAGCTTCCTGGTTGACATATGAGGACCGAAGTTCTCCTGTCGGGAAGGAGGATCGAACGAGCATGTTCTAAGCAAATGGCCGACGCGGCCACAGTGGAAGCAAAAACTTGGCAAATACTCGTATTTCAAATGAACCCAGAAGTACCCAGTATCGTCATTAGCTGCCATGATCTGGGATCGAAGCGGTTTTGAGAAATCAACAAGGGTCTTCACTTTCACAAACCAGGCGCCAGTTTCCTGGCAAGTGAACACGCCGGACTCCAACACCTTCCCAATCGTCGTGGACACCATTTTCCGGCCAAATTGCTGAGTGCAGCAATCCTCCTTGATGTTCCATAGCTGGACCCGGAAAGGAACCACAGCCAGGTCATCATACATTTGCTTTGTAATGACTGGTGCCCATGGACGAAGATGTAGTATCTTATCATTGATCACCCATGGTGTGCGTTTGAGCACCCAGAGCTTGGCCTCTTCGCTTGGCAACATGAATTCCACCAGCCCGTTCTTAGCTAACACGACTCGGAGACGTCCTTGGATAAGCCATGGATCGAGCAAAGCCTCACGAAGCTCAGTGGTCGATATTCGGCTCTCCGTGAACACTCTCCCCAGCAGCGAGTGTGCCGCACGGTATTTGGAGGATTGGACCTCTTCCATCGAAAACTGAACGATTTGGTCGGACGGAACATGCGCCATTTTGGGAGCCTGCATCAAAAGGTCATCGTCAATATTGGTTTCAGGATCCTCTATTAAGGTGGATCCCTGCCCGCCAATAAAACTCTCCTCACTGGTGGCACGCTTCAGCGGAGCAGCAACGTGCATGGGCCATGGTTTAGAGGGAAGCACCCATGCACGTGAAAGAGGATGAGGGAAAACCAATGAGAGATGCTTACCTTCGCTGGACGGGGTGCTGAGCGGCGTAGGAATCTTCTCTCTCAGTAGCTTTGCTCGGGGGCAGACTTGCAATGAGCCGCTAACTAGAGAGAGGGGTTTAAATAGGATATCCAATCCGCCACTTCTGGATCCCCGAACCAGCCGGTTTAGGTTTATTAGGTTCCCTCTACAATAAGGAGACTGTAACGTAACAGGCGGATAACTGTCCGCCAAATCCTGGACCGAATTAAAAATAGATTCTGTAGAAATTGTTCCATTATTAGCCACAACTGCATCCGAATCCGAATCTATCCGCCGAATCGGGGGAGATAGACTCCTATCAGGATTATACCTCAGAGGGGCATCTCGGCACGTCTCTACCACGTCGGGATTGCAGCGGCAGCCTCGCCGCCGGGCAAAATTCCCAACGCACGCCGGAGCTGTCTGGCCACTAGAGCTAAACATCTCCTCCGAAAGGAAGGTAGCCCCGATCGCCCTTACCGTGGGGATCATTCTGGGTGTTAATGCTACCAACCCTTCACTTTCCACATCTTCCATGGCTGGAAGAGCAAATCGCCATCTGATACGACGGCCAAACTTCAATCGTTTCTGTTCGGGGATTGAAAGAGCGCTAAACTCACTACTTTCCCCCTCAAATTTTCTTTTTCTGCGACGTCTTTGGGTCCGACTATAAAATAGTCGGCGGAGCTTGAGATCGGAGACAGGAGAATGTCGGCCCGATCCTTCCCTGGACTGCTGTCCCTGAGCACTGACCGCGGAGCGCCTCTCCGCATCTGTCAGATCACACTTCTTCCATCCCTGGTTCTTCATACACTGGGAAAGGATTACCAGCACCATAGACAGGATGTATCGGCCAATCCGTCGCCCTAGGCGAAAGAGAGAGGGGAGAGCATCCCCCATTTTTTTTTTTTTTTTTTTTTCACACAGCTCACCGACTCTTAAGTGTTACACTATAGCTACACTATAGCTAAAGCCTTTGTGACTTTTTTTTTAATACTGGTCAACCCTCACAACCAAGTTCTTTTCTTTCATTTTGTGGTTATTTATCATTCCACCAACCGTGTGGTAGTGGTTTGCATTCGTTTTGAAAATAATGGAAGTGTCATGATCTTCACACGATTGTGGTAAATGGTAATGAAGCGCTTCATTGTCAATAGAATTCTGACCTTACGAGAGTCTGGTGAGGTTGACAGATGTTAGGGATAATTAGGTTCACATATGTTTTCTCTTTGTACAAAATGGTCAAGAAATTCAATTTTGCAACATTGAGTAGTAACACAGATTAGAGCTTGTAATAAAAGGCAAACAATTGTGACAATTTATGCCAATTGCCCTATATTTTAAAGGTTTATAATCGGGTTATCGGTTTAAATCTACAATTTTTCGGCGTAATATATTGATGGTTCTACTTCTATCATTAAAAATCATTTCACCCTAATAACTATTTATTATTTGGTAACATTTTTTTTTATTCTCTCGTTGATCATTGTTGAATAAAAATAAACATGATTCGTTTTTTTTTTAAACAGGTCTGGGTTTCGTCCATTTATCAAATGCATGATTATCATAAAGACAGTTTTTTCATAATTATTGTCCTCTCGTCGTGGAAGAGTAGTAGTTTTCCGTCCACGGCGCCGACACCATTACTGGCGGTCCTTTTCGAGCAAAGAAAGCGCGTTAGGTTTCAGCAGGTTCTGCCCCACTGAAATTCTATGGCCGATATGCACCGGCTGTCGTGCCAAAAACTCATTTGTTCACTCTTGTAGTGTTGATGTGACTTGAATCGGATTATCAGTCCTTATGATTGGATTAGTCGGAGTCTCGCTATCCGGTCAGCGAGTTGGGTCCAGGGGGAACGGTCCCGGCCCGTGGTGTATGTGCTCAATGTTATTCGGGTTCTGGGCCTGGTCTGTAACTGTTTCCTTTGCCAGATTGGATAAGATTTAGACCCACATGGAGAAGTTCTAACTTGGCATAGATCTGTAATTTGTGATCTCCTCGATATAGTGAAACTGGCTCTCTCTCGCCCGTAGACGTAGCTAACACACATCGTGTTAGTGAACCACGTAAATCGTGTACCGTGTTTTCGATTCTCGCTTTCGTATTCCTGCTTTGTTGATTCCAGCGATTTCCCGATCCGTAGCAGCGCGTTTTTTAACATGTATCTTAGAGTGTAGTATAAGATCCAACATAACATTCTCTTAACAACTCGAGTTATTGGGACGACCAACTGGTTTATGACATGGTATCAAAGCTAGTTTGACCAAATGGTTGTGTGTTCGAATTTTCATGACTTCCAATATTAACAGTTGATTAAAACACAAGATATGGTGGGCCTGTGCAAACTTGAAGCTAATAAGGTGGCTTTCGTTTAAGGGAGCGTGTTAGAGTGTAAGATCCAACATAACCTTATCCCAACAACTCGAGTTATTGAAACCAACTGATTTATGACATCGTATACATTTGACAATGAGTTATTCTGGAAAAGCCTACAGCGGTAGCCCTTGTTGTGATATAAACCACACACTAGCTGGATCCCGTACCTCTTATATTGTGATATAAGGTTATAAATAATCTCCATCTTCAGAAGAAGAAGAATTGTGTTCTTTGAAATGGCGGCAAAGGAGGTTGCGGGTTCTCTTCCTGTTCCCAACGTTCAACAGCTAGCTTCGAGCTCCAACGTTGTACCCATTAGGTACATACGCCCTGAACTCAAGCTACAACGAGTTTCTAGTGATGATGAGTACGTTCAAGTTCCAGTGGTCGATATGAGCAAGCTGGATGGTAATGATGGTGGCGAGTTGGCTAAACTGCATTCGGCTTGTAGGGATTGGGGATTCTTCCAGGTTTATGGCTCATCAAAATCCTTAAATATTTTTCTTTTACCTACTTTGCCATTCAAATGGATCCTAAACTGCTTGATCAAAACGCAAGACTGATACCATGTCCAAAAAAAAAAAAAAAGTGATCAATCATGGGGTTGGGGAAGGAGTGATTCTCAAAATGAAGGCGGATATTCAAGAATTCTTCAGCCAACCAATACAAGTGAAAATGGATTCTGCGCAGCTACCAGATAGCATTGAAGGATACGGCCAAGCGTTCGTTGTATCGGAAGAGCAAAAGCTTGATTGGGGTGACATGTTATTCATCATTACACAGCCTATTAATCGAAGAAACGTAGGATTGTGGCCGAAAATTCCCTCTTCATTCAGGTTTTGTTTCAATTCCATCACTTAGCCAAATGAATACACAAATTCGCTTATCTTTCTTTCTAAGTTGACCACTCTAAAATGTCTTATGTTCAAAATAAATAAAAATTCTTATTAATTGGTCAGAAATAATCCAACATAATTGTTAATTTTTGCTAAATCATATTGTATAAATAGAGTACTGGATCATGCATGATATATATATATATGGCAAACCTTTGTCATGATTCTTAACAAATTTTCCACCATTGAAACCTTAGAGCAAGAACATCGATTCTCATATAACTTCATAAACATTGTTTGAACCCACGTCATACCCAAACTTGTTTGAAATAACCCATGATCTCTACATTAGTGTAATTTTGCCTCCATTATCTTGATCTGCGCGACCAGTTTGCCTTCTCTTCTCTAGCACACACGAATCAAACGTTCTGGTCTGTCCCTTTTCCACTAGGGCAACTCTCGAGCAGTATTCGACAGAGCTAGAAAAGCTGGCTAGATGCTTGTTGACTTCCATGGCCAGGAACTTGGGGCTTGAGTCTGAAAAGCTACTCACTACGTTCAACGAAGGTCTGCAAGGTATGAGAATGAACTACTATCCGCCATGTGAGCAAGCTAACAAGGTCATCGGTCTTGCCCCACATTCCGATGGTAGTGGATTGACTTTGTTGACTCAGGTGAATGAAGTACAAGGTTTGCAAATCAGGAAAGATGGGAAATGGGTTCCCATTCATCCCATTCAAGGTGCCTTCATCGTTAATATCGGGGACATGATTGAGGTAAAACCAGCAAAACTCAAATCAGTTGCGACAATTAGACATTCTTTCACATATATAAAGAAATTAATTCATCTTAGTAATATTAATATGCGCAAATGCATGCGGACCACAGATCATGAGCAATGGAGAATACAAGAGCATAGAGCACAGAGCAATAGTGAATCATAAGAAGGAGAGACTATCAATTGCAGCATTCCACAATCCGAACGCCAACGTCATGATTGGACCATTGCCAGACATTCTCATCAAGGATCAAAAGCAACAAGCAGCAAAATATAAATCCATATCGCACCAAGATTATATGAAGCTTGCGGGGAAAATTAAACTCGACGGCAAAGACAAAGGCTTCATTCATCATATGAAAATACAAACTGAATAAGAGCAGTGAATTCAAGCCCCTCCATGGTATAAAAAAGTAGATGAAAAGTTCAAAGCTGCTAAATATTCATGCCAATATAATGGAGGGTTTTTCTTATGAGTTATGAATAATCTGCTAGTGAAATGTTGTAGTCTCGTATGTTTTTTTAACAAGATTCATTAAGTATGTCAATGGGCAAGCCCTATGAAAAAGGTTATATATCTATCATAAAACAATGAAGGCCAAGATACCAAGCCCAACAACAATATGGAAACCAAATAGGGCCTAGAAACGGGCCCGAATCGAGCCCAGATCTCAACCCTAACAGCCGCATGAATGCCCCTTGCTCCTCATCGTCGTTGGAAGATACAATATCGCCCTTCCTCCCCAAACAGACCAGCGGCCAAAACCAACAAACAACAAGAGGGAGTGCCTGGCGCCACCATCCCAGGTCGAAGGCAGCAAAAGCGCATGAAAAGCCTCCACCAGCACCTCGTTGGGCCTAACCCTGTCAGTTCCTCGTCATCATGAATCGACGCGAGAGACTTCCAAACGAAAGGACGGTCGGTGACGAGATCAAGAGGGTAACCTTCAGTATTTAAGATCGTCACTCCGAGTCCAAGCACGATGACCACATCTCCGAATCAACGAGATCTGCAGGATGAAGCAAGGAGGTGGACGAAGGGGGAGAAGAAGAGAAGACAAGCCAGAAACATAGATCCAACCTCCTTTGCATCTTAGAAAGGTAAACATCTCCATATCTGAAGGCTCAAACCAGAGGGCAAGAGATCCACCCATCAAAGAGGGTAGAAGCTCCATAGAGGAAAGAAAACACGCCAAAGCAAGGCCAAACGAAATAGAAACGAGGAAGAAAGCAGAAAAAGAACAAAAAATCGAAAGGAGAATGTTGAAAAAAATGGGAGAAAAAGAGGGCGGAGGGCTGCTGTCATTCAAACTTTAGAGAGAGATCAGAGGAAATAAATTTAGAAAGAGAGGAGGAGCCTTGAATTGTAGTCTCATATGTGAACTAGTGTAGGCCCCGACCAGTTGGCCGGAGGAAAGTGAGATATGAAATTTGATCATGTAATGGTGTGTATAGGTTATTGTTGTATAGTTTTTTTTTTTTTTGAAACACATGAATAATACAACAAATAAAAAATCAGCCTTATGAACTAAAATCAAGTACCTATTAGGTTGTTACCTTATGAAACAATATTGTTTCTAGTAATATGATGAGCTGGAGTAATTTTATAGAAACCGAATTCCAAAAAACCGAATAAAAAATCGCATATCCTGCCAGTTTTTGGAAAATGAGCATCTCACAATCGTTGCTAGCTTTTATTCGGTCCGTTGGCCGATTAATTTGCTTTATAAAACTTTCATCTTATCGTCATTGTGCTTTTTGGTTTTTGACAGACCATGATAAAATCTAAAGAAATCAAGAACGAACAACACGATTTGTGATATGAACCACCGTTCATGTATTCCTAGAAAATAGTAGTAAACACAGACTCACCTGCCAAATTGGTTTGGATTGAGATTTTTATGTGGTGTCATGGAACCATGTGATTATAAATTAAACTTGATCAAAACGGGCCAAAACTTGAAATTCAGCCTGTTTGACCGACCCATGCCAAACTCTAATTATTCTTTACTTTTAAACTTTCTATTTGAAAATAAAAAATAGTGAAATAAAAGAGATGATTGCAATTCGCCATTTGCACATCACTGATTCGGGAATAAAATCATAGAAATTCGAAAGGAAACGAAAAATGCTTAGGATCATTTTAATGTCGAAAATAAGCAAATAGATCTTTCTGTTTAGTTTTTTACTAAATACCAAACGATTCCCTATAAAATACACAATAATTTAATCATTATGATATCAAATAATTAGATAATATATATTTGAAATTATAAAAATTGAACTAATCGGGTTGGTCGAGGTTGAACCATTGAATAATTTTAAAATACATTATATTTTAGCCACTTAGATATAAAATAATAGCATAATATATATTATGCTAGAGAAAATAGCTTGTTTTAGAATGACAAACCCATGATGTTCATTTGTTTTACTTGATGGCCAAATCCCATGTAGATTAGGCCCATTCAACTCTTTTATTTTATGGTTAGCGGTTAGCCCATTAGAATCCATGTATTAGTTTATTGTTAAATTTTTTCTTTTTAACAATAAAAAAGAGTATTATTTTTGCCTGTTTATATATATTTTATTACTACCGAGAAATAAAAGGACTTAAATAAAAAAATTGACACTCTTGGACCCGTTTAAATCTGCATGTGTATGGTAAGTTGGCCCGTTCCACGGAGAAAAGAGAAAAAAATTGGCACTCCCTATTCTACCCTTTCTACAAACGCTCCTCGAGCAGGGAATTTGAAATGGGGGAAGGATTTTTTCGTCCCTGCTATTATATGTTTTTAGTTTCAAAAGATACAACAAATGTACTTAATGTTATTGGTTATGATCCTTGTTTTTCTTTAAAGTGGTCATGGTTCGAATCCCAGTACGTGTCTTTTTAATGAATAAAAAAAAGTAATTGTGAAGACCAAAATGCTATTATATATTTATGTATTTGTGAGCATTTTTAGCCTTTTTAATTTCTATAACATAAAATTAATCGTACTACTCATTCTCTAAAAATGCTAATTAGCCTATTATATGAATGATCATATATAAACGATTTATCAATAGTTTTATAATAATTAATTACTAAACCGTAAGCCACAAGTTGTTTCTGTTTGCATTCTTGTTCATTCATACACGGAGCTTCTAATGGTTGTGGACTAGGCATTCGGTCGAACTTACGTAAATTTTGGCCGCCGCTTTCTTTCGTCACCTCCAGCCGGCTGAATTGACACAAAACCAACCCCGCCGCTGCCGGCGCCTGCTTTCCTCCTCCAGCCGATAGAATAGACACAAATCAACCCGCGCCGGCGGCCTTCTTGTCTCCTCCAAAATGACTTGTGGCCACAAATGATTCTTCGTCACAGCCCACAAGAGTACATGGTTTGAGCCATTTGTGACAAAAACGATTCATTGAAATTATACCAATCCAAACTTCTGTAGAACTAGTACTACTCTATTAATTGCGGCAAAAATGACTCATCAGTCGACTAATTATTTTGTGTGTGTGATCATGTCTTTGACTCATTGAAAGAGAGATATTGGACTTTCATGACACTTCATCGTTTGGTTTTGGTGATAGTTTGGTTGAGATAGTTACAATGCATGAACTGTTTATAATTTATTATTTTTTTAATGACACTTTCATGACACTTCATTGTTTACTTGATATGACACAAACTATTACTCAAAATGAATGATAGTTAAATCTCAAGATTTTGGTGAGATTGTTTGATTGAGATTGTTGGATTTTTCTCTTCCAACTTTGCTCCTGTCTTTTTATGTGTGTTGTTTTTTTATATTAAAAACAAATAGTAAAAATTATTTTTTACCTAAAAAGTAATATAGCTTATTTAAATACTATGATAACTATCACATAAATCAAACGATGTAAACTACAATACACTTATGTACATGTGTTTTCTTACGTACATATGTATTATTATATATGCATTATTATTGACAATGCACCAAACAACCGAATGTTGTAGAAACAACATTCCACCACGGTAGTCATTTTTCAACGAAGAATTATTGCTAGCGGCACTTTCTGATCCTTCGGAACCTCCTGGTACTCGAAAAACTGCTCAACTCGCGGAAACCACGATCTAGGATCATCCCCCGCAAACTTCGGGAACTCGAGTTTCGCGAGCTTGGCCAGAAAACCTCCCCCGCCACTGCTACGGCCACTCCCGTCACCGGGCGGTTTGCCGAAGCTCCCCTGCACGGCCGAGTCGCGGTGCCGAGCGCCGCTGCCGTCGTCGAACTTGGACTTGGACCCGCCCTTCTCGCCGGTCTTTGGCCCGGTCGTGCTCCTTTCGCCAATCTTCATCCCGGTCGTACTCTTCTCTCCCTCCTTCTCCTCCGAGCTCTCCTCATCGCTACCAGAGCCCACCGGCCCTTTGCCCTCCCGCTGCGGAATCCACGCGTCGAGCTTGGCCAGCACTGTCTGTTGGGATGAATAGCTTTGAAAAGCTATAATGAAATTCCTAATTAATTATCCAGTATTTTCCCATAATACGAAATTAAGATGGATAATTAATAAAAGGAATATTATGAAGATAATTAGGAATAATTATCTTAATAGATTATATTTTAATTGTGGGAGTAATTATCTCCCTAATTAAAATATGACTCATTCCCAAAGAAAGAGGGAATATTCTGGGTTTTCTGCTCCTATAAATAGCAGACGCCCTAGACCCTCTAAATACACCTCAGAAGAGCAGAAACACGAGAGAGAGTGAATTCATAGAGCTCCGGTTTTTCGCACAAAACCGATGAGCATCAAAATTAGAATGGTTGTTTTATCCTGGAGGCGACCGGCTGATAGTCTGCTGTGCGCAATACGAGGCAGTGCCGCGAACGTCTTAAAGAGAGCGACCTAGTCCGCGACTCAGCCAGATCGGTAACCCTAAAATTTCTGTTCGGTTTATAACAATCGAGAAATCCCCCACTTGAATAGTTTGAAACTATCTCTGAGCATCAACAGTTCCATAAGATCGGGCATAAGCTAAGGTATCGCGAAGATTTGAACCTTAGCGTAGTGGTTACAATTCCGATTTCATAAGAGTGACTCGTAGTCTTGAACCCTATCTCAGACAATGTAGCACGCCGGATCTTTTCATTGAGTGATATTCTCTCATAGGCCGTGCGTTTATGGCCATGCACGTTATCCCGGTTTAGTGAACGCTCTAGCAACTTTGTGCCTCCAAAGTTCCATAGGGATCGGCCCCACTCCCACATTCACATAGGTGAGTCTATCAGAAGTACCCCCAAAGTAAAGTACTTCGCTCCACATAGAGTATAGATCTCATTAAGAGTTGAACTCAACCTCCAAGGCTTTGGGATTCATGCTTCACTCTGCATGAACTTTTCTCAATATTACTTATGACTTGTTATTACACATTGAACCCGTTTCTTGGGATCTCCAGTCTATCGGGTCGGGTTACCATCACTTGTAATCCGTGGTTCGGTAGGCATAAGTCTCATACCCTTGGTGGTATTTTGGACTTTCTCTCTAGATAATCCTTTCGTCAAAGGATCAACTAGATTCTGTTAGGACCTTACAGGATCCACCCTCATTTCTCCTATCGTTAGGAGTTCTCTTACAGTACTGTGCTTACGACGAATTTGTCGTCTCTTTTCGTTCTAGAACCGGTTCCCTTCTTTAGTAATAGCTGCGGTGCTATCACAATGAATCAACTACCGGAGGGATCGGTCTTTCCCATAAGGGAATCTCTAGTAATGACCCTCTCAATCAACTTTCCTCTTTACTAGCCATTGCTAGTTCTATCATTTCCGTTTTCTTAGTTGATTGAGCCAGGATCGTTTACTTCTTAGACTTCCAAGACATAGCTTCTCCATCGATGTTTAAAACACATCCTCTTGTTGTCTTGGAGTCCTCTATAAGGTATTCTAATCCGCATCATTATACCCT